GAAGATAATGGTGATGGAATAACTTGGAAAAGGATAGGGAGAATAGCAGCACAACTGGAAGAATGTAATCGATGTCACTGAACTGTACATGTAGATACTTTCAAAATGGTGTAACTTTAGCTATGTATATTTTCACCAAAAAGAAGGTCCTCAAGGTCGAGAAGGGAGAGTGTTGACATGTCGTGGGGTTGTTAACCAATGTCATAAAACAATACGTGTACTGTTTAATGAGAAACTATTTATTCTGGAAACCTTCGTCTAAAGCACAATTAAAAAAATTGAAAAAAAAAAAGCTTGTGAGAGGCCATCTAAGATACTCCACTGGTCTCACGCCGTCTGGAGCACAGGAGAATGAAGAAAACCAAAGACATAAAGAAAAATTAGTACAAAGGACTAATGGACCACAACTACCACAGCCTCCACCAGACTGAGTCCAGCACAACTAGATGGTACTGGGCTACCACCACCAACTGCTCTGACAGGGATCACAACAGAGGGTCCCAGACAGAGCTGGAGAAAAATGTAGAACAAAATTCTAACTCACACACAGAAAAGACTTACTGGTCTGACAGAGATTGGAGAAACCCCAAGAGGATGGCCCCCGGACACCCTTTTAACTCAGTACTGAAGTCACTCCTGAGGTTCAAAGATTAGACAGGCCCAGAAAACAAAATGAGGATCAATGGGCACACCAGCCCAGGAGCAAGGACGAGAAGCCAGGAGAGGACAGGAAAGCTGGTAACAGGGAACCCAAGGTCGAGGAGGGGAGAGTGTTGACATGCCCTATGGAGGTGGCAACCAATGTCACAAAACAACATGTGTATTGTTCAACAAGAAAGTAGTTTGCTCTGTAAACCTTCATCTAAAGGACAATAAAAAAAATTAAAAAAGAAAAGAAAAGAAATGGTACTAAGTTAGATGTAGATATATCTCTTAGGCTGTGCAACAATAATAATCCTCTCCAGACAGTAATGGACGGGAGTAGAAAGAGGAGCTGACTCTGTAGGACACTCACCAGGCTCCCCTGTCTGGGACTCAGTTTCCCCACCTCCACGGCTGGGATGTGGTGCAAGATCGCCAGGAAGCCCCTCCCGCGGGGTTCTCGGGAGAGGCAGTGCCCCCCGCGGCCCCCCGGGGGCGCCCCGGAGCAGGCGGCACCCGCAGCCCTCCTCACTCGGTCGCTCTGCGCTCACTCTCCAGGAGGTTTCCCGGGGCTGGCCGCGTCCCGCCCGCTCCTCGCGCACCAAAAGTTCCCCGGTGCGCCCGCCTCCCCGCTCCGGCCGGCTGCGCCAGACGCCGCTCCGACCGACGGCAACATGGGCGTCCCCACTGAGGCCGGAGGCCGGCGCTGGGGGCCCGTGCTCCTCGCTGTCTTCCTGGCTGCCTCACGAGGTAAGACCGGCAGCAGGAGGCTGGGCGCTCAGAAGAGCCCCGGAGGGGACCGCGGGCGGGGTGGGGTGAGCCCTGTGAGTCTCCTGAGCCTGCTGTGACCCCCATTCCGTGGCAAGGAGTTCTGCTGGGGCGGTATGGCAGGGTGAGGTGGCATTTCTGCCAAGTGCCCTGGCTGACAGCAGGCACATCTGCAAGCTTCGACAGCTGCCTGAGCAGCAGGCAAGGCTGTCCTCCCAGGACTGCCCGTCCCACCCTCCCCTGCCTAGAGAGCTGGGGCACAGATAGCTTCTGCAGGCTGGACATGGACAGGGTGGGGGCAGCCCCAGTGAGTTCTTATGGATGTGACCAGCTTTTGACACCTGTGGCATCTCCCAGCCCAGCCCGTCACAGGGCTTCAGAATTTCAGAGGGTGTGGAGTGTGGTGGCACTCACAGCCAGTGCCCTGTGCCCTAGTGACACTTCTGGCTGAGCCTTGCTGGGCACTGGCAGCCAAAGATGGGACTGGTCCAGGTGGGCACTGGCTCACTCCCAGACGTGGGCATCACTGCCCACTGGTCCTTTATCTGAGGGTCAGATGGCCTAGAGTGAGCAGTCAGCTGATTCTCCAGCCCCCTACCAAGGCTGCAGCTCAGGACCAGTGTGGGACACTTCCAGCGCGGCCACAAGCCCCCTGTGGGTCCTTGAATAACTTGTGCCGTCTCTCTGACCTGTTTTCCCAGTTCAAACACAGAAGCTCCACACAGGGAGCGCCACTTTCTGCTTCCAAAGTCCAGACTGTCACAACTCCAGGGGGTATCCTGGCTGGGACACAGTGGCTGTCAAGGGGCCAGGGCAGAGGCCCTCGTACCCACAGCCTGGCCTGGCTCTGGCCTGCCCAGAACTGAAGAGGCTGGACCTTCAGGGACGAGGGGGCTGGCAGGCAGCCATTGGGAGCAAAGTTTATGAGGAGGGCCCAGGGAAAGTGTGAGTCATGCAGGGAGTCAGAGGGAGGAGGAGGGAGGTGGAGGGCTTGGCAGAGGGACCCAATGGGCGGGTTGGAAGAAGAGAAGGAGGGGGAAGCCGAGAGAACCTGGAAGGCACCTCAGAAACTGGGTGCCTGTAGGCAGCGTATTATTTCAGCACTTGGAGGCTAGCCTGGGCCTCTGATAAGGAAGAAGGAGCCCAAACCCCACAGACCAGAGCTGCCTTAGCCTCAGCCTGGATGCTCCCCAAGATGACAGCCAAGGAAAGGAGAACTGTCCCTGAGATACGGGGGTGCTGTCCCAGCACCAGGAGGGCATGGCTTCCAGAAGGAGCAGGGGATGGTGGTAGGCAGGGAGGCTAGCATCCACCACTACAGGCCACCTGCCCTGCCCCATCCTCCCCCAAGTGATCCGTTTTTTATCCCTCACCTTGCTGGGCTGCTCTCTGTTCAGCAGCCCCAATTTGGGAAACTGAGTTTTAAAGAGCCAGCTGGTGGCAGAGAGGCCCAGAGAGGAGGAGCTCAAGGCCTCTCCACCACCCCCCTCCACTGAGATCTTGGTGCTCCAAAGGGTCATCTCTTCCTGGGTCCAGTTCAGGGAGAGAATTAGGGCTCCAAGCATCCCTAAACTCCTGACTCAAAGTAGCCGGACTCCTGAAAGCGGTCAGGAGAATTTACTTAGCTTTGAATTGCTCTGGGACTCAGTATTCTCAGCTGTAATATGGGCACGCAAATGTATATTCACCCTACGACCTAGTGCTGTATGCAGTGAGGGAGATAACAGTTGGGAGGCCAGGTCACAAGCATGGTCAGGAGGGTCTGTGAGTTGGTGTGATTCTTAGTGCTTTGGAGCAGCAGGGAAGACCTGCTCACCCCTGCTGAGCTGCCAGACACAGACATGACTGATTGCTCAAGGTCAAAGCCTTTATGTCTGGGGCGGTGAGATGGAGGTGGCTGGTGCAGGGCTATTCTCCAGCTCTTGGGGCTGGGCCAGCACCAAGGAGAATGGTGGTGGTGAGTATGGTGCTCAAGGAGCCCAGAAAGATTGAACATTCCTCCACAGATGAGCGGAGGGAAGTACCTAGGGAACCAGGACTCCACTAGACCCCAAAGGGAGTGGAGCCTCTTCTGACTGTGCAGGTGTTCCAGGGCCTGCAGAAGTTACTGCCCATGCCCTGTCCCCACAGGTGACCGCTGACCCAGGAGTCCCAAACTCTGAGGCTAACACATTCAAGCTCATGGGGTGCACTGGGGCTAGGGAGGGGAGACGCCCACCTCCCCCTGCAGCATCTTCCCCTTTAGGGTAAACTAGGCTGCAGGACCTTGCTGAGTAACCCAGTGGTGCAAGCCTCTGATGCAGTGATGGTCAGGTCTTAGGAAATCCACACTGCACTGCCCAGAGGCCTGGGGTGGAGAGGAGCAGCCTTGGGGCCAGCCCATGGGCATGAGAGGGCATCTCAATGCCAGGAGACACCTAGCGGCCAGCAGTACTGAGGAGCCCATTACTGAGATGGGCTGGCTGTGCCCAGGAGCACCCTGTGGTTGTTTCAATTTCCCCATAAATGGGACAAAGGTTCCCTGCTGGGGCCTGGTCTTCTCTGTGAGAATGTGGCCCAGGCAGGAGGTGCACTGCTGGGAAGGGGCCACCCCCCTTGTGTGTATGCAGTGTGTGTGTGTGGTGGTGGGGGTCTTAGGTACCAAGGAAAAGAAGGAAGGCAGGCAAGGAGGGGTCCTCAGTGCCTACCTGGTCTGACACCCTTCAACAGGCACTGACAAGCTGCACGTATTGAGCTTGAGGCCCCAGGTTTTAGGCCAACTATTCATCTGGGAGCAGCTGGGCTTCACCAGGGGAGGGTGACCCAGGATTAGCAATGAGGCTTCATAATGAGGGCCCTCAGCAGCAGCACTGGCATGCCCATGGCCTTCCTGCGGGCACGCCTCTGTGGGATCATGGAAACAAAGGACCCGGAGTCCTGTGGCCTTCGTGACAAAGGCTGCCTGTATAGCTCCTTGCTTAAGTTTGGTTTCTAGGGTCAGTCTGACCTGGTTTCAAATCCTAAGCTGGCCATTTACTGCTCTGTGGCTTTGGGCAAGCTCTTTAGCATCTCTGAGCAAATTCTCTCATCTCTAAAGTGTGGGTGATGACAGCACCCTCCTCAGAGGGCTGTTGTGAGGAGTCAGTGAACACTTAACACAGTGCCTGGCACATGTGAGTGCTGTTTAATATTATGGCTTCTGGAAACTACGTGCCATTGATCCCCCATCTAAGCTCCTTGCTGAGTGTGGAGGGCATGGGAAGGCGTTGACTGGTTTCACTGGGACTGGACTCTTCAGAATCCTGGAGGTCTGAAGGGTGCCCAGGCTCAGTCCAGCCACCCACCTATAGGCAGTTATAGCCTGCCATGTCCATGGAGGTGCTTATAGTTCCTCCTCTTAAAGTTCTCTAGAGATGGGGATTTTGCACCTTTAAGGGGAACCTAGTCCAGGGTTTGCTTATCTCAGTGGGATCTTTCTTGTATCTGACCTTTACATTCAGCCTATTTACTATGGCTGACCCTCCCCCAAGAGAAAGACAATGGCTGCCATCTTGTTCATCCATAACTCAACAATAAGGTTGCTCAGCTATTGACCAAGCAGCCCAATTCCTTTAACCTTTCTATGTCGAATCTTGTTTCCCATGGGGACCTGGGGTCAAGTCCTGCCTCTGCTCTTCACTCACCATGGGACCATAAACACATGCCCCTTCATCTGCATAATGGACAGGTTGGGTGAGATGGTCTCTGGGAGACTCACCACTCACTTCTGAAGGGTAATTCCATGAAGGTGTTTGCTGAGCTTCAGGGATTTTCTTATCACCTTTGCAGTTCCTACAGTAGCTGCCTATCATCATATTTACTTATGTTTTCCTTTAAATCTACTTACTCTTTTGCTTAAGTAAACAGATTCTAAAAGGGAACTTTAAATCGCTGTCATAAATGGAAAGCCAGCATCATTTGCCATAAATAGAACAAAATCATAAAAGTACATAATAGAAAAACCAAATAAGGGGATTAAATTCTACTTGGAAACTACGGCCTGGGGAAGGCTCAGACCTTGAGACCTGTTGTCCCTTGGCAAAGGAAAAAAAAGAAAAGGAGATTAGCAGGTAACAGAGATCTTCTGAAGACATACTAGCATCAAACTGGCACTTTCTTTTTGATGTAATCAGGACTGAAACAGAATTGAAAGGGGAATAACCTTCTCTCTCTCTGATTCAATGTTATTAAAGCCATAAAACAAAAAGGAGAACTCCCTAGGTTAACAAGTGTTGTCAGCTCTTCTCCATCACCCCAGAAGCATATTCACTGCTGTGCAGGGAAGGTGCCAAGCTCCTGGGGGAAGGGAGAGAGGGCACTGCTCCCCATCCTTAGAGCTGACAGGCCTGGAGGCCAGGCGGGACTAGACGGCCTCTCTAGGTTTCTCCCAGCCCGGTACATCCCCAGTCAGAGCTCACATCCAAATAAACACAGCGGCTCCAGTTGGGTCCTCCCCATGCTGGGGCCAACCAGCCGTCCCAGGAACCATAGCAGAAGAGGGGACAGGAGAGGGAGCCAGCAGCCTCACTGACAAGGCTCAGGCAAGCTGGATCTGCACTGGCCAGCCCAGCTGTCATCTGCAGGAAGAAGGTGGGACCTCCACTCAGTCCCTGGCTGCCACTAGACTCTAGAGGGTAGTGGATGGCACCAGAACTCACACTAAAAATAACCCAAACCAAGCCAGTTGCCATCAAGTAGATTCCGACTCATGGCAACCCCATGCGTTTCAGGGTAGAACTGCGTTCCATAAGGTTTTCATGGCTGTGAACTTTTGGAAGTTAGATCACTGGGCCTTTCTTCTGAGGCACTTCTGGGTGAGTTTGCACTGCCAACCTCTTGGTTAGTAGCTGAACATTTAACTGTTTGTGCCACCCAGGAACTCCAGACTACCGGGGTTCAAATCCAGGCACCACCACTTACTAGTTATGAGACTTAACTTCTCTGCAGTTCAGTTTCCTCATCTG